TAAAAATTATTTACACATCAGAATATTAGAAACTTTGTGTCAAACTCTTCCATGACTGATTAAGAACAAGATTACCCGTTTTCACGATCGTTTGCCAGTTTGCAATTACTACCCGGTCAGCATTATAAAACTGCGCGAGATAACATGAGAACACGTCGTCGATTCTTCCAAGTCGTTGCCTTCGCAAAATTTAAGTTTCGCTATCAGCGATTTCGAAAACCTGTTAAGGTTATGCTCTCTGCTTTAATCCTTTGGTCAATCTGCTTTTATGTCTTCCTGAATAAGCCGGACTCATCACTCACCACGCATAACGCTGTCCAAGCCGCGGTAAAAAAGGAAGCAATAATGACTCCTGGAAACGTCACACCACGTTTCATCGTTGCTACGGGTGCTCTAAATATTCACGTATGGCGAGAGGTTTGTGGCTCAAGCATCCAGAATCTGCGTCAAAATTTTCTTTTTCCGGATTATCCTGACGAAATTTTCATGAAGTTCAGTGTGGTTAAGTTTCAAATTACAGACAATACCATCGATTATGGTCAACGGATTTTTGGCTTTCTTCATCCTCCTCAGAGCGACGAATACAACTTCGCCATAGCGTCTGATGACGAGTCGGAGTTGTGGTTCAGTCCTAGTTATGATCCGGAACAGAAACGATTGATTGCGCGAGTTTATAAAGAAGGAGTAAATGCTTGGACCAAGAAGGATCAACTTGATAAATATCCTGAACAAATCTCAGAACATCTAATGCTTTCTAGAGACAGAAAATACTACATAGAAGTTGTGCATAAGCAAGGAGTTGCTCTTGGTTTTGTACAAGTTTATTGGAAGCGTCGTATTGAAACCGACTTTTACCTTGTCAGTTCGGAATACTTGTCGTCCCATACAAACGATGTTACGGTCACCGAGGCAAAAGATGTTTTGCACAGTTTGCTTTCGGAGAACTACCATCAAGATCTTGAGCTGAAATCTAAATCAATAGATCCTGAACGCCTGCATTTTCTTTCCCTTCCTTTGATCCCAAAAGATATTTATCTTCCCTTGTGTGATTTACAGTCTAACTATTTGTCAAATGGTAAAGTGTATCGTTACCAAGGCCGCAAAGCGGTTCAGTTATCCAGTGTCTACCCTGCTGATGAAAGTAGTATGCTGACTAATAGTGGAAATTCGTGGAGTGGGCCTAACAAAATTGCTGACAGGGACACAGTTCAAGCAGCCATGGAGGAGATAGTTATGTCGTTAAACCGTAAAACCTCAAAGTAAGTTGATCTAAAAGTTAAAAAATCGAAGGTATAATAAATGTCAAAAAAGTCAAGAATTATATCACTGGGTTGCTACGTAACGATAAAAGTCCATTAACGAAAAAGATAAAAAAACCGATGTGGAAATGGACACGATTCGAACGGAATGCAAATAACAGACAGCACTCCGAGCTAACTGGGACAGTTTGATTGCCAGGGCGATCGAGAATTGAAAAATTTAGAAGTCGCAAACTTGAAGACCTGAATCACTTCATGATTTCGGTCCAACGTAAAAGTGAGATAAACATTTACATACGATGTCATAAAAAGACTGTCAATTTCTTTGCTAAAACAAATACCTCTTTCTTCTCGTTTGGCTGTGATGTCGCACAAAGCTCAATGAAAGTATTACTACTCGATTTACTTTATGGTTAGCAGTAGAGCCGTGTCGTCTAAAACTGCAGATTTTTCTTTTCTCAGGCGAAAACTCTTTCCTTTTTTTGTTTTTTGGTGACCATTCTGTGACTCTAGATTGCCAAATGGCGATTTTGAAAGGCGCTGGGCTGAGAGCCCTGGCAAAGGCCCAAAAACTGTGATTA